TTCTCCAAAATCTACCATCTCCCTTAACTCAAATTCGGCGCACCTTTCAGCTCAAAAATTAAGCTCAGCGGCCCGGAGAGTTCTCCAACTTCATGGAAACACTGCTCTTACATAGACAAGCACTGGTCCAGAGCTCACAGAGCTTCACTGGAAACATGATGGCGCTACAGCTACAAAAAAGTTTGCGTAACCTTTACAACTGATAATTTCCTTAGGCAAGTCAAACATTTGATAGACGTGATAAACGCAAAGCTTTCCTTTGGCAGTAGTGCGTCTATGTTTCCAGTGATATGTGAGCTCTGCACCATTGCTCGTCTATGTAAGAGCAGTGTTTTCATGAAGTTGGAGAACTCCGGACCGCTCAATTTTGGAGCTGAAAGGTGCGCCGAATCTGAGTTAAGGGGATGGTAGATTTTGAAGCATGCCAAGTAGTGTTTTTTGTTTCACATTCGCATACCGCCGCTAAATGTCCTGATGGTACTGCTTCTCCATAGGAGTGTATGGATTAGCCGATTATCTCCTGACAGCCTTATGATTTATCCAATTTTTGTGGTCATTTGGCGTCTAAGAAAATTTGCTCGGTAAAGTCTCCTTTTGGGAGTTTGATGAATGCTAATTGCACTGCATATCCAGATGCTGGAAGGTGACAAGGTCTCCAAAGACGTGTAGCAGAAAGTGGCTACAAGTTTCAATCAATGATGTCGCCATACTTGCCATTTTCCCCAGAGCTCCCTTTTGTCTGCAAAACGAAACTGCCAAACTTCTTGACATAGTATCGGTGTAATTTGCACATGACAACGAAATTTGAGTTCGTAAGGCTGGCTTCATACTGATTCCCATGTTCCGGAATTGTTTCCACACAGTTCCTGCACTGGCTGGAACTGTTCCAGAACTGTGATGCATGCGTTGCAACCGCCCTGCACGCGTTTTGAACGGCGGGACTTGGAAAATTTTGACCGTTTTCTCATTTTATCCTTATTCCTCTACCGCGCTTCCCTTTTTGATCAGCAGAACTTCGAACTCGAAGCGGGGTTGAAGAATGAGCACTTTCTGTCTACATATCCGACAAAATTCTGTTCTTGCGCTAGTCCATTCTCACTTCGTTTTCTTTTCGATCAAACCTATTCCATTTGTTTCAGGAAGCCGCTGCGTAGTTTCCGCAGGCATCTGTCTCGAGTTAGGACATGTGCACATTCTGAAAATGCGGAAATGCGAACTTTGCTCTTGTTTCCCGATGAATTTCGTTTTTGGGCATTCTCAGGCTCTTTAGTATTTCCATATCGTTCTCTTCTACTCCGCTTCTCCTAGCGATGAGAAAAGCTGCGAATTTGAAGCAGAGTTAAAGAGGGAACGCTGTTCTCTTTCGTGTGCATGTTCCGGATAAGTAGAGAAGAACAACGTTTATTCCTCAACCCCGCTTCAAGTTCTTTTTCTCATCACTGTTAGAAGCAAGGTAGAGGAATAAGGCCAAAATGAGAGGAATCTGGAAGAGATACAATTGAAAACGGTCAAAGTTTTCCAACTCCCGCCGTTCAAAACGCGTGCGGGACGGTTGCTGCGCATGCAGCACAGTTCCGGAACGGTTCCAGCACAGTGCGGAAACTGTGCGAGAACAGTTCCGCAACATGGGAATCAGTATGAATTCAGCCTAATATGCGAAACAGAGTAAGATATAGCGAGATTTCAGAGTAATTGCAAACTTTTGGCCAGCACTATACAATGGGAGGGCTGAATGGAGAAGAGTGAGAAAGGTACAAAAGTACGAAATTAGTACTCTCGTACATTGTTCCAAAATCCATTTTGGCACACAAGAAGACCAAAAATAACTTTTCTGGCGAGGTCTTGTGGTGACGTTGAGGTTGAGGTAGAGGCGTCTATCGCAATCACATCATCCACGCTGTGGGTTCAGGGCAGGGGATCGCTTCTCTCCCCTCTGTCATAGCGGGGTTCAGTGAAGGGGATCGTTCTCTTGAGGATCCGCTCCCCTCCCCCCCCCCCCTCCCTCAGCGGGGATGTACGTGCATACGGACCTTGAGCTGCGGAGGATGGGCGGTGTGCTGAGTGGTCAGCTTCGTTTAAATGAGGTGACCGAGGGTTTACTACGGGCCATAACCTGCTACAAAGATAGTAGCCTTAGCTGAGCGTTCCAACATTGACATGTCTGAATCATCCTCACAACACAGAACAGTGATCGAGGAACGGCTTAGGTGTTTCGAAATATTAGGTTGGCTAAAAAATAAGTTCGTTTTGACATGTTAATTGAAAACCTCATAACAATTCACGCAACAGCTATTCAGCTAAGATTTTTCCGTGAGATAACTCTAATAATAAGCCCTACCCTCAAATATCAAATAGTGAAGATTTGCTGGCCCCAAAAAATAACAGCTGCACCCTTATGCCCTTGGTCAGACTTCTAAAAAATCACCTTATTGACTTTCTTTATGCCGGATACATACAGCCTCTGGCTATGTGGCGAACCACAATGAAAACTGTGAACTGGTACCTCTGAATTTCTGCAACCAAAAATATCGCTCGAATTTGGCCATATATGGTCGTGCAAATGGTTGGAAATTTGATAATTTGTCGTGAGGGTACCGAATCTACATTTTACATCTGACCTCAATTTGTTTTTAGGAGCCATATTTTTTGGAAGTTTGAGGAAAATCCTAACCATTATTTTCTCCTGCCCCATTTCGTTGGAAATGTTAAAATGTTCAATTTTGAGAATAAAGGTCAACCTTCCGATTCTCTTTGATTTGCTTTTTCCAATGCCGTATATACACTCAAAAACTGATTTGTGACAAATCTACAAACCGCTAAAAGCGACCGAACTTATGTTTTCTAGCCAGCTTAATACTCTTTATCCTTTTTCTGATATTGAATTTTTTGATTAATGCGGTTCCTGCGATATAACAACCAATGCTTTATGAGCAGTTCAGCACCCCAAATTTTCCCCAGTTCTTAAAAAGTCTTCTCGAATATCTTATATATAAAGCTGAATGTCTGGTTGTCTGTATGTATTTATGTTTCTGTCTGTCTGTGTGTACGTATGTTCCGAATGGAAAATTCCATTTCCGAACCGATCCGGACCAAACATGGCACACATACACTCGGGGCGGAGCGGGTGTCATAGGCTTAGGCTACTTTCCGTCATCGATCGATGTCGATTTTATCGATTTTTTGCAAAGTTTGGGCTACGGGGCTAGGAGTATGCACAGGAGGGGGAGCGGGGGGGGGGGGGGAGGTAATCGAGCATGCTGGTTACGAATGCAATATTTTTATCAATTTTCCTGCAGAGTTTGAGCTGCGGGGCTGGGAGTTGGCACATGGGGATAATCGAGCATGCTGATTATGAATGCAATATTAGATTTTAGAATATCTATTACTTTTATCGATTTTATCGATTTTTTTGCGAAGTTTGGGCTACGGGGCTGGGAGTTGGCACAGGAGGTAAGCTGATTACCCAAAACAGCGGGAATAGGAAACTGGCATGTAGAAGTGGGCACAGGGAAAGGTTGTACTGGGATAGGGATAAGAGCTTTATCATAGCGTTTTGACAGGGCCGGGCGGAGCCGGCTAAGCCAGCTAGTCTCATATATATAGTGTTAGTTGGTTTGCAGAGTTAAGCTTCGGCTACATTATAGTTTTTGGCTACCTAGATCAAGTTCTTGAAGTTTGTTCATTTGTTCATTCGAAAAAAAAAACATTTTTGAGCAAATGTAGGCATAAATGTACCGAAAATTCCAGAAAGCTGATTATCCAAAGCAAATAAAATTTGATTAATTTTCGCCGTTGATGTTTGATAACAATCAAGTTTCAACTGACAGTCCGAGAGGTTTTCTTTTGGCTACAGTTGTAATTCATGACTTTACCAAGAATTGAGATCTACGAAGAAATCATTTTTCGAAGCTCAAACAGCCGTCAAAAGAATCTGAAAGCACGACTACATGTCCGCGTCTATTTGCGTCATATTATTACTTGTCGAAACTTTAGATTTTTTGAAATTAGCCGAGCTTTGAGCAGGTAGAAATAATAGTTGAGGAGTTATGGCAGTTATCAAATAGTGTTCGAAAGTTTATATTTCGAAATTGTAACCATCAGAAAAAAAGGAAAATACTGCATCAAATGTATGTTTGAATGCTTTGAATGCCTTCAGTCTTTAACGAAGTTCTATGAAAGTTCGAAATAACCTACAAAACTTTGGGGCAGCCTAATAATTGTAATTTGAAGACAAATTGAGATTTGCCTCGAATTCAAACGACCTGAATGCAACAATGCTTCCCTGAAAATTCGTCGACCAAAGATTCGCAGCTGTCAAACTTTGCCGAGACTGTGCATAGTAGGCTAGATTTGATCTACCGAAAATGAAACTTATATTAAGTTTTTGGGGTGGATCGTACGGTGGATATCCGTGTCCTTACAAAAAAGGTCATGGGAAGTGATTATATAAAAAAATTTCCTGATCTTGATCAGGTATCGCCTATGGTCCAGATTTCACCCAAATCTGTAACAATTTGTATTTTTTACCCCTAAGCTTAGTAGCCGGCGGACTGGCAAACATCGGCCGAGTTTAAAGCTCATAGCTTAATCCATACAACACCAAAAAATGGTGCGCCACACACAAAGAGAAAAATAAATTATGGACGAAGTTGCAAAGCATAGCTGTCAACCTGATTACCAAGAAGGTCTTGTAGAATTCCTTATTGCTTTAGTTGTCCCTTCTCATTGTCCCAACTAATTTCACGTCTATGACAGGATAAATCCCAGCTGCTCACCTGCTCGTAAAAGTGTTTGCTCAGCTGGAGTCGCTCATCCAATTACTTGCCAATTTTGCCGGAAGCAATATATAGATCGCAGAGGCTCCTGCTTGTGAAAGTCGAGGAGCATTCGGATCTGCCGAAATCATGAAAAAGCGCTACTTTGAAGCAGCTGTCACCATCCATCACGTAAACGCGAGATTATATCTCGCAAAAAGCTGAGCAATTGCACCAACGAAAGCAATGAAGTGGGCAGCAAGAAATAGCATATCGCTGTTACGATCTGCAAATTATATTTTGTCTGAAAGAATTTATTGTAGTGTCTGGACCAAATGGCAACAACCGCGCAGAAGCCGTCGCCGAGACAAAACACAAGAAAGAAAGCGCTATAAAAACACCTCGCTCAATCGCACGCACGCCGCCGTTTTTACCTTTGTTTGATTTCATTTTATACATTTCTTAAAAGACCATGACATCGGTTTAATTACCCAAGTTTGAGGTAACGACCAATAAACGTTGTACACCTGTGTCGTGTCAAGCCAGTCAAGTCCGTATATGGTGCATCGGCCGCACACTTACTGATCAAGGAATCAAAGGACCCAAGGACGTTCCGGTACGCTTTCACGCACGACAAAAAATTGTAGAGCCTTTTTTGCATAATGACAGGCCCTACCTCTTTGAAATCCCAGAAAGCGCTACTTACGCGTTACACTAATAATCTTGAACGCATTCTAAATGAAAATGAAAATATTTTGAACATTGAAGGCGACTCTTTCGCTGATTCATCTACTTCGCAACGCACTCAATGTTTGGTATTGCGAATCAACACAACCGCAAAATTACTTCTTGAGACTTTGAACTCTTTTACTGCCACAGTTGATTCTCTAGAAGATAGGTTATCTGAGGAACAAGAAACTCAGGCACAAGAATACATTGAAAAAACCCATGCGATTCTTGACAGAGCACAGGATGTAGCAATACAGCTAGAATGTAGTCGAATAAGCGCACGCGATCACATTGATTCAAGAGAAGTAACAGTGTCAAAAACCAGACTACCCGAAATTCCCATTCCATATTTCAGCGGTAAAATATGGGAATTTCAAAACTTTTGGACTCTTTTTTCTGCTAACGTACATAATCAGAACTTGACAAAGATTCAAAAGTTCAACTATTTACTGAAAGCTTTGCAAGGAGAAGCAAGAGACAGTGTGCGCAGATACCCAGTAACTGAAGAGAATTATGAGCATGCGATCAATCTTTTACACGCAAAATATGGAGACGAAACAAAATTTATTGGTTGCTTACAGAGGCGCTTAGAGAATGCTAGAGCTGAAAATACGTCCACACAAGCACAAAGACGTTTATTTGAATTTATCTTTCCCGTAGTGACTCAATTAGAAGAAAAAAAACTGTGCCTCAACGGCCCTTTTCTTGCACAAAAAATAATCTCAAAGTTTTCAACAAATATCCAACGTAAAGTCCTTGAACGCCGCTTGAACATTCAAGACGAATGGAATATACGCCAAATTCTATCAGATCTCGACAACATAATTTCCACAGAAGAACGAATTGCAGACGCAATTAACTTAAATCGCCCACGCTTAGAAACCACCAAACCCTTTGCTTCAGTCCAGAGCCCATCCCCCCAATTATACGGATGTCTCTTTTGTGATGCAAAGGAACATCAGGCTATTACATGCAAAAAATTTGCTACCAACGAAGACAGAAGAATGAGATTTGTACAACAAAATAGATGCCTTAATTGCGGTAAACTTGGTCATTTTGTGAAAAATTGCCTGAAAGAAGGATGTAGAGCCTGCAAAGGTCTGAAACACCATTACACAATTTGCCCAAAACGAATTATAACAACAAAAAATCACGAAACTTCACAATCACAACGAAATGAAACAACTCATCTAACAATGCGAAGAAACACCCACCAAACAGCGACCAAAGTTCCGAGAACGGAAGAAAAAAGAACGAATCAACGTGCTACACATTTGATTGAAGTTGAATCAGATACTAATTTAACATCGACTACCATGACAGAAGAAACTGATCACAATCTCGGAACAGTGCTATCAAGCCTGAAGACATCCTTATCACAAGAAAAACCAAGTGATGAACACGCTAATGTACTACTACTCACTGGAATTGCAAAAGTCAAAGACCCTCAACACAACATATGGAAAGACGTGGAAGTTCTGTTAGATACGGGAGCTGATCAATCTTTCATTAGCTCCGATCTAGCACATGAACTAGGACTAACATGTGTAGCACACAAAAATTTTGTGTTATACACCTTTGGCGCAAAAAATCCTAAGCAAACAACGTGTGAAATAATCACGTTGAGCATACAGGATAACCAAGGTGAGGAACATGATATGCGTCTATACACAACCCCAATAATAGCCGAAAACACCAAAACGGCCGCTCTTAGCAATGAGGACCTAGAGTTTTTATCACATAATGATATACATCTTTCAACTGACAAGTGCCAGCTTTATTCAAAACCTCTTATTCTTCTCGGATGCGATCAACTCTGGAATTTCCTGGACGTATCGTCACCACAGTATACACTACCTTCGGGCTTGAAGCTTATCCCATCAAAATTAGGATATTTGATCACAGGAAAACAAGACTCATTGTCGAAGCAGACTACCGCTATAAAAGACTGCGAAACAATCTCCATCAACTCCTTCAGTAATCTCGAAGAAGACATAGATCGATGGGACAAATACTGGACCATGGATTCCGCTGGCGTATGCGAATTTACGGGGACAAAAAACGCGGAGAAACAAGCAATCAATGAGAAAGTTGCCAAATTTTTCATAGAAACCATAGAAAAACGTCAAGATGGCTACTACATACGATTTCCTTACAAGGACGACTATCTCAGACTTCCCTCCAACAAGGCAATCGCATTCAAACGTTTGCAATCAGTATTACTGATGCTGAGAAAAAATCCAAAACTACTCGCGGATTATGATGCCACGTTTCGCTCACAACAAGAAAAAGGTATCATAGAAGAAGTTGTTGAAGAAGGTACAAACGAGGGAACACTCGTGCATTACATACCTCACCAACCAGTAATCACACCACAAAAGGAAACAACTAAGCTTCGAATAGTATTTGATGCGTCAGCACATTACAAAAACAATCCATCACTCAATGATGTACTTCACCAGGGACCAATTGTGGTACCTGAAGTATACGCACTTCTGCTACGTTTTCGCGTTCCACCGTTCGTTCTAACTTCTGACGTTGAAAAGGCATTTCTTCAAGTTCGAGTACATGAACTGGATAGAGATGTGACCAGATTTCTGTGGGTAAAAGATATCAATTCACCAGCAGATGAAAATAACATACAGATATTCAGATTCACTCGCGTAACGTTTGGATTGAATGTTTCCCCCTTTCTGTTATACGGAACAATTCGTTATCATTTGGAAAAGGTCAATAACAAGGAGCTAGCCAATGAGATAAAAGATAACATCTACGTTGACAATCTCATACTTGCAGCTGATTCAGCTGAAGAAAGTGTCAACAAAGCACAAGATTCAAGAGAAATCTTTGAGGAAATGGGCATGAACCTGCGACAATTCCTTTCCAACAACACAACATTACACCTAAGCTTACCACAAAACGCACGCGCTACCTCAAAAATTCAAAAAGTATTAGGCATCGAATGGAATGCAGAAACGGACTACATCAGCATGCGCTGTAATCTCTGCAAGTTAGAAAATCCTACGAAAAGAGTAATCGCGCGGCAAATAGCATCAGTATATGATCCACTAGGTTGGATGGTGCCACTCATGATCCGACCAAAAGTATTCCAACAAGAACTATGGAGGCAAAATTTCGATTGGGATTCAGCATTGCCGTCAGACTATAAAGAAACATGGAACAGAATGGTCGAAAATATAGACGGCTTTCAAAAGTCTACTCCACGACGCTTTTTTGATGACGGCAAAACAATGAACTTGGCAATTTTCGCAGATGCAAGTACAAATGCAATCGCAACATGCGCCTATGTTTACAAAGAAAAATCGTCAACTTTAGTCATGGCAAAAAGCAAACTTCCGTCAATCAAATCCAAAACAACTATGCCTAAGCTAGAAATGAACGCACTTACACTAGCTGTACGCCTTGCCAGATCCATCACAAATGCTTTGAAATCAAGAATCTCCAACTATCCATGGACTATTCACATCTTTTCCGACTCTCAAATTGTGCTCAGTTGGCTCTCATGTCATCCAAAATATACCAACGCCGGAGTATTAGTAACAAATAGACTACGAGAAATACGTGATATAGTTGAAAGCATGAAAGACGAATCAGTAACAGTAACATTCAACTATATCAACTCAGATCAAAACCCCGCAGACGCAGGAACGAGAGGTTTAACGAAGGATCACTTTCTCTCTCACATATGGTGGGAAGGACCTGAATTTTTGAAAACACCGATAGAAAGTTGGAACATAAAATCCTATCCTCTAAGCAATTACACTCTCGAGAAAATCGAACTCTCTGGCACGATTCAAATGAACAATTTGGTCACGGAAGAAAGACCAAAGGAGATTATTGATTTGGACCGCTTCAGCACATTCTCTTCGGGGAAGAGGATTATGGTTTTATGCCTGCGGTTTTTAAAGAAATTGTTACGACCAATCAATGAAATCAGAAAAGCAAGCATATTCGAACGTGTTCCTGAATTTTCAAAGATATCCACGAACATGGGCGCTATTGAAGGAAAGGAGATGCTAGCCGCAAGGTTTGCACTCATACGCAACCATCAGTTAACTCATCTGACAAAGGAATACAGACGATCGATGGACAATACTCTACGATTGTACTGCGATAGCCAAAAGATATGGCGATCTAAAGGAAGGATTAGCAACAGCACCTTGGGAGATGACGCCAAAAATCCAATTTTCATCACGCCAAATACTCGACTTGCTACAGCTATCATCAAAGAATCCCATGAAAACTATCATAAAGGAATTGAGCACACTATAGCAAGCATTCGACAGTTATACTGGATTCCAAAAATACGACAGCAAGTACGCACGATAGTCAGCCACTGCTTCCAATGTAAAATCTTCAACGGTCTACCCTATCATTATCCTGATACAACAGACCTACCGCAACGACGAGTGATAAGATGTCACCCTTTTCAACACATCGGACTAGATTTCTTTGACCTTCCATCTTGCAAAGAGAAGGAAGAGTCGATAAAACTATACGGATGCATATTCACATGCACCAGCACACGGATGATTCATCTGGAGCTTGTACGCAACATGACAACATCCGACTTTCTGAACGCATTACGACGCTTCATAGGACGAAGGGGAATACCAGAAACAATAACTTGCGATAACGCACCCACTTTTTTACAGTGCGAAAATATCTTGACGAATAAGGATTCGCAAAACACAGATCTCATTCGCATGTTAGCAAACAAAGAAATTCAATGGAAACACATCACCCCATACGCGCCATGGCAAGGAAGCTTCTACGAACGTTTAATCAAATCTATCAAACACGCGTTATACAAAACACTTCGTAACACAGGGGATCATTCCTTTGATGAGATGCAAACACTCATTGTTGAAGTAGAAGCCTGTTTGAATTCTAGACCACTTACCTATCAAGGATCTACACATGAGGAACTATCATCCATCCGTCCAATTGATTTTGTGCAACGTGATATATCACTTACACTCACACTGGATAATGAGCTGGTAGAAGAAATAGATGATCCAGACTTCATACCTCCAAACGAGCAACGTATGCTAAGAAATCGACAACAGGTAATTGACGCACTCAAATCGTCGTACCAACAAACAGAACGTTTCTGGCACGTTTGGCAGCAACAATACCTCACCTCGTTACGTGAAACACATAAAAAGTACACATCCAGACAACGATCAGGACAAGAAATCCCTTCAATTGGAGACATTGTTTTAGTTTGCGAACCAATACTACCACGCAACGAATGGAGAATGGCTCGGATAACCAACGTACAACCCGGTGCTGATGGAAAAATCCGAGAAGCAGAACTCATTACAACCACAAAACGAAAAATTCGACGACCTGTGAATCTCCTCATCCCACTGGAAATACAGGACAAAGAAAAAGATGAAACGAAAAAACAACATGATGAGAACCAAACAAAAACAAACGAGAACGCACGCCAACAAAGATACGCGCTAAGACCACGGCCAACAACGCGTAATGTACAAAACAACATATGCAAAGAAAACCAATCAAAACGATCATATCAACCTAAATGGTTTCTCTTCTACATAATGAGCCTTTTACCAATCTGCATGGTGAAATGCAACCATCATCAAGTTCACAACCATCATCAAGACCCAAGCATCAAATGCACCAAGAATGGAATACTCGTAAATAAATCAGATGCAGGGGACTACGAAGTTTGCGCAGAAAATTTCTGCAAAACTTATCAAACTTCTACAAATCCTCAAAAAATTAAACTACCCCCGGAAATAACTTTACATGACTATGATATCATGGTGAAATGGAACACGAAAGGAGGCACCTTAACCATAGAAAAAACGTGCACAAAACTCGATTTCTGTGAAACTCTAGAATGTTGGTTCTGCTCCTCTATCCTTTTTAATCCGGAATGTTGGCCGGTAGGCGCAATGATAATATTTGCGCTTCTTCTCTACGGACTGACTGCGCTCATATACCTCACCTATCATTTGATAAGAATAATTTTCAAACCTCTATATCTGTTTGTCCAGGGGATACGCCTCTTTCTATCCTTAACAGTTCGAATACTAGAGTGCGCCATGAACAGTGGTGCCCTGCCAAAACTTGGTCAAAAACCTAAGATCACGAAAGACCGTATTTCTGCAGCGCTCGCAATAGTAACTCTACTTGGAATCAACATAAGCTACGTTTATGCATGCCAACATGTCAACATCCTAGAATACCGCTCTACTATCTGTACATTCAATGATGAAAAAGAAACATGCTCTGTGACTCTCTCAGAGATATTAAAAATTAACACTCTCAAACAAGAAGCCTGTTTGCGCCTAACACGAAACTCCACTTCAATTGTTAATATCAAAATAAAGTGGAAAGGGTTATATCTGCACTGTGACCGCGAAAGATTGTACACCACTCGCACGGTTCAATTGAAAGTTCACGATAGCAAACGTTGCGCACACATGGGATCTTGCATAGGGGAAAAATGTGGTCAAATCAATAGCTCAAGCCTAATTCCAGAACTACATCAAGCAAATCAGTATCCAGGAAGAACAGGCTGCTTTGAATCTTGTGGTGGACCAGGGTGCGATTGCTTTTATTTGAGTTCCGGTTGTCTATTCTACAGGATATACGCAGTACCAAAACATTCAAAGGTATATGAACTGTTTCGATGCATGCGATGGACAGAAGAAATCAATCTCGAAATCATCATCGAAAACATCATTTCGAATACCCACATACGATACGTCGTTCCCGTCTCTCCGAACGTACCGGTATACACTCCACCCATACAAATTACTATGACCTCTGTTACACTGCCACCAACACCTTCACTTGCAGCAATGTTCATAACAGATGGTATAGACACAGCTATTTGGGACGACATTGCAAAACCTCCACTTTACTGTCAAACTCGATCAGAAGCTAGGAATCTCAATTGCACTCTCCAGGATAACTGTAGATGCGCTCCGGCGGAATCAACTGTCAATTGCGAATGCGAAGAAATAGACATCGACGATAAGTTCCAGCAAATTGACAAAAAACTACCTGTAAGAACGGCATCTTGGGAACTCAGACAGGCCAAAAATTCAGTATATGCTAAAATTCCTCATATGGTCACTGCCGAATTCATCATCGAATTGAACAACACTTACGACATGGCTATACTAGAAGTTACAAATCGTGAATGCTTTGTAGAAAGTACTTCAACCCTCGAAGGGTGTTACAGCTGTCGCAAAGGAGCCGTAGCCAAAATACAGTGTTACTCAAGAAACAAAATTCTCGGAGAGGTTTTTTGCGCGAACAACGCTTTTGTAATACCATGCGGACCACAAAGACAAGAATCAACGCTAGAATTCCATTTTGAAACCGCGAAACAAAAGATAGATTGCAAAGTTTCTTGTGGAAAATCAGAAAGTAGCTTTACATTGATGGGAACTTTGAAATACATTAATACCTATCAAGATCCTCTCTTAAGTACCTTAGAAAAACAGAGTTCAGTCTTCAATGAAATCACACTACCTGATCTATCACACATTAAAGATGTCTTTCTCAGCTACTACAAAACTCTAATTACAATACTATCCATAACTGCGCTCGCACTTTTGCTTTCATATATATTTTTGAACACATTCGGCTGGTACTTCGTTCGTAAACTTTTACGACTAATATGGACCTTGTGCCGCCTTCCAATACGCGCTATTTTTGCATTACATCATGCACTCAAAAACCAAAGCTCTCAAGTGGCATGAAAAAAAAAAAAAAATACAAAAAAAAAATTTTTTTTACATCAAATAAATCACAAAATTTTCTTTCAGAAAATGGAAAAGCCTACGCAACGCCACGCACGAACCTCCTCACTCTCGCTCGACCCCATTCGACTTACGCAACTGAGAAAAATCATCAGTTTCCTCGAAGAAATAAAACAGGAAATCAAAAATCTACAACAATCAGTCGATTCCGTACTCGAAGAAACCAAACAGTTATCGCAAGATCAGAAAGACGCGCATTCCAACGACGACCAGAGGACGAGTCATGATGATTCAGACGACACCAACACAGAAGGCAAAAAGGAACAGGCTGCCATACTGAAAAACATCGATTTCATGGAAAGCCTGGAAAAGGAACGAGAAGAAATGGACACCGATGCTGACCACGAAGCTCAACAGAAAGAAATGAGAAAAATACAAATCCTGCAAGAAATCGAACAGCTACGACAAGGAAGAAACAATTTTAACCAAATCATAGATGAACTCAAACATCAACGTTTTTGCCCTCCAAGAAATTTCGATGAAGGGCCCATCACCTTTGAAGCAGATAGAGCCACACGTTGCGCATTTTGCGAACTACGCGGCGAACACTATTCAGACAAATGTCCATCGTTTCGTGATATACAAGAACGCTGGAGAATCTTGGAACAAAAAGGAAGATGTCAACTTTGTTTAGAATTATATTGCGTCGGAGGTAATCTTTGCAGAAAATTTGGCACTAAATGTTATCATTGCAGAAGTCAGAACCACCACTCCGCTTTATGCGATCTTCCAGAGAAAAGCGAACCTATATGGCAACAACTCGCTAATGCTCACGATGGACTCACACAATGCTCAGCAAAAATCCAACAACTGGAAAAAGAATTATCCATTATTGAAAGTGACTTACAACTTTAAGCTTGGGTGGCAGTATCGCTGTTACGATCTGCAAATTATATTTTGTCTGAAAGAATTTATTGTAGTGTCTGGACCAAATGGCAACAACCGCGCAGAAGCCGTCGCCGAGACAAAACACAAGAAAGAAAGCGCTATAAAAACACCTCGCTCAATCGCACGCACGCCGCCGTTTTTACCTTTGTTTGATTTCATTTTATACATTTCTTAAAAGACCATGACATCGGTTTAATTACCCAAGTTTGAGGTAACGACCAATAAACGTTGTACACCTGTGTCGTGTCAAGCCAGTCAAGTCCGTATATAGCAGTCTCATTTCGCGCTCAAACAGTTTGGCTCACAAAAACGATGTCTGGTGCCTACTTGTTTCGTTTTTTCTAATGTCAAACCTGATGTGTGATGTTTTACATCAAAGCTCAACCTTATTATTGCTCCGAATGTCCAGCGCTTTTACGGTGTGTATTTAGTACTAGATTGACGCGAAAATAAGCATCTTCTGCAACCAGAACGTTGAAACTCAGAAAACACATGAGATGAACTACACCATCGAAGGAAGCAAGCTCTGCAAAATGCGGGACATACTAGAACAGTCCTGATGTTTGGAGTCAAAAAGTTCACCACAATGGAGGAGACTTACTTGGAAAATCCGTATGAACAAGTTAAGGCAGGGTTGCTGTTTCACTATGTCGCGCACTGCGGTTAAAATCGCGTCCCAACAAACAGCTTTTAACAGAAAATCGCGCTGATATAAGAGAACATATACACCTACGCGTGAGTGAACTCAAACTTTATTCAAAAATATATGGAGACCAATGCGAGGATCCGTTCGGGGGGGGGGGGGGGGGGGAGGATGTGACAAAAATTTTTTCTGATGAATGTTTGCGGCATTAGCCATGCACCCCGAAAATTTTTTGGGATTTCCAAAATTTTGGGGCCCTTGACCCCGAAACTTTGGAAGAAGGAGGCGGGGCGTGGCGGCAACCGACCCCAAAAATTTTTTCCGATTTAGAAATTTTTTGACTAGTGGCGTCCCGGTTCTGCCCGGGAAGGGGCTCTGCCGGTGGAGGGCACCAGGATTCAAAAGCGTCAAGACTCACCATCATTTCCCATATCAGCGATATATCTCGCTGACTCGAAGCACCCGATCCTCTTCGCCGCAAAATGTAAATGATCTTTACTGCCCCGCTTACCCAACTATGATTCAGGAATGGTTGATAAGTTCATTTCTTTACATATAAGTAAACAAATCAATACGATTGAAAGGCCCAACGAATCGTCGCGAAAAGTAGCCTATCCTTTGCGCCGTGCCTTATTTATAGGGGAGCAAATTTCAGCCTCACCGGCTTACAAACAAAAGAGTCTATAAGCCACATACTTACCAACTAACAATTTTACAGAGTTTGAGTTTTTTTATATATAGATTATTTACAAGTATAAAAAGTCGCTTGCACATTTTTATAACCCATGTAAGTAGCTTTTAAAAATTTCGCGACCCATCCTCGAAGGGAGGGGCTCTCGTTCCGCCATTGGTAGACACATATAACGTTCTGTTCAATCGATATAATTTCCTTCCGCCTAGAATCTGAGACAAAGACGATAACCCAAAATTGACAAACTTCGCCCTTACCCTCCTGTCAAACAATGTAGATTACAAGGCTTCTGAAGCATAACTCTGAAAAGCCTGATATTTGTCTTGATTTTTGAGAAATGTACTTTTTGATACTGCTCGCCACTGGTGCCCAGCCGGCTCGCCACTGGCAGATGTGTGGCAGTTGAGGATTTTGAAAACGAAGTCCCCTTTGACATTGCATAATGTTACGAAATACCTTTTGCTTTATTTGTAGAACTGCTAATAATCTACAGCAAACGATGAGTTAACGGAAGTCAAAATTAGGCAAGGAAATCCGAGATAAACGGCAAATTCGTAAAAAAAGACGGTTTTCAAATAATTCAAAGGATAGCAAAACAGAAGAGACGAAAGGTTTGTGGTAAGTATTCATGGGTAGATTTTGAACTGAAGAATAAACTAATGTGAAAAATTTGTAAAATTATGTGAAGAAGGAAGAAAATTATGATTTTGTTTGGTTCCGTGCAACCTCAGGGTGCTCCTAGGTTGCGCGGGAGCAACCTAAATTATAGGAAAAACTTACAGCTCCTTTAATTTACGGAATTTTTTCATAATTTTCTACTTACCTTTTTATCGTCGCCGCGAAGGTACACATCAAATTTGGTGGATCACTATTGCTTATCGGTTGTAAACCGACTTATTATTTATGTTCATAAAGATTGTGTTTTAACATGTTTAAATGGTGTACGGGTCTAAGCAGTCGTGTTTGCAACGTGTTAGTCTACCTGTTACCGGTAAAACGACGTCGGGGTTGAAATAAGGGCTTTCCAAGGGTTAGCATTGCGCTTGCTAAAATTGCATCAGATTTTCGGGAAGCAACTCTGGAGACAATATGATTACCCTTTTGCTTTTCTTTGAAAAAAAAAAGACATCCAGCCTGTAAAGGCGCCACCTCTGCTGAGCCCTTGTGGAGTGTTATAAAGATTGAGGCGCACTTCGATAACCTCTCTAAGATGAAAATTTCATAGGTGCCTAAAGTGGTTTTGTAAAGTTTGCAGCCAAAATGTGAAATAACCAATAACGCCAAAAATCGCTTCGTCAAAGGAATATCTCATGGATATATTCAGTCATCTACAGCAGGTACCTATAAACATTCATGTATGTATCTGCCAGTGGCGAACCGTGTTAAAACGTGCTTTTCTCAAAAATTGAGACAATTATCAGGCTTTTTAGAGTTATGCTTCAGAATCCTTGTAGTCTACATTGTTTGAATGGAGAGTAAGAAGTTTGTCAATTTTTGGTTATCGTTTTTGTCTCAGATTCTAGGCGGAAGGAAATTATATCGATTGAACAGAACGTTATATGTGTCTACCAGTGGCGGACCGAGGGCCCCTCCCTTCGAGGATGGGTCGCGAAATTTTTAGAAGCTACTTACGTGGGTTATAAAAATGTGCAAGCGACTTTTTATACTTGTAAATAATCTATATATAAATAAAACTCAAACTGTGTAAAATTGTTAGTTGGTAAGTATGTGGCTTATAGACTCTTTTGTTTGTAAGCCGGTGAGGCTGAAATTTGCTCCCCCATAAATAAGGCACGGCGCAAAGATTAGGCTACTTTTCGCGACGATTCGTTGGGCCTTTCAATCGATTTATTGATTTGTTTACTTATATGTAAAGAAATAAACTTATCAACCATTCCTGAATCATAGTTGAGTAAGCGGGGCGGTCTAGATCATTTACATTTTGCGGCGAAGAGAATCCGGTGCTTCGAGTCAGCGAGATATATCGCAGATATGGAAAGGGATGGTGAGTCTTGAACGCCTTTGAATCCTGGTGTCCTCCACCGGCAGAGCCCCTTCCCCTGCAGAACCGAGGCGCCAATAGTCAAAATAATTTCTAAATTGGAAAAAATTTTTGGGGCCAAAGGGCTTTCGAAAACCCCTTTTGCCAACCTCGTGCCGGGCCCTGTGACAAGAGAAATCGATTTTAGGATGGCCCATTAAAACGACATCTATGAAAGGGAGATTTATGAGCAGGGTCGAGCAAGAGGTGTGGCACACAACCGCCGGATACGACTGGGTGTATGTCAAGAGGCGCGATATTTATTGCCAGATGGACAGAATAGCGCATTGTAAGTGTTCTATAAGATTCCAGAAGTATTTGAAATTTGAAAGGAGATATGTTAGATAGTTGATTAAGTTGTTCAGTCCTAATATTTTGGAATCAATTCAAAACATCGCTTTTGAAGGTCAAAACCCCTTAAAAATGCGGTTAAGAACAAACTCGTAAATATTTCTTTCTGTTTTCTAGGAAAAGCCACCAAACTCGGCAATTGGTAGCCTCAGACAAAGAGTAAGCTAATGCACTTTATCCGCTACTTTTTGACCACTCGCATAACACTAAGGTTCCCGCCAGAGTGCCGAAGTTATGCCAGCGCTACGCCAGCATTTCGATCGATACACGTGTGTTTTGTTGGGGCGGGGCTAGCTGACGTCTCCAACGAAATACACGTGTATCGATCGAAATGCTGTATATATTATTGGGCCACCTAAGTGAATTGGCCATTTTCAAACATGATCAACTTATTTTAGAAGCGAATTAGCTACCTCTTATCGTACTCAATGCAAAACACTACTCTCTGTTTGTCTATACCATGAATCCTGCTTCAAAAAACCATCAAACTATGAAAATAGGAGCGAGCCAAATTCTCGCCCATCCCATGTTTGCTTACAGTGGTTGTACTTCCAGCAACTATTACTCAAACGAAAGAAAACCAATTCAGCTCTACTCGTTTCTACAAAAACTACGAGATTTTTGCTATCGAGCTGTACCTAACTTGTTTCCTAAAATTCATGAAGGTAAGTTAATGGATTGTGCCACACCCCATTAACTTACCTTCAAACCATTCAAGTATCTGCGTTTTTTATATCGTTGCGATTGCCTCTTCGGAATGCTGCGAAAATTTTGGGTTACGGTAACATGCCTAGTCTGCGCTACTATGTAAATCGCCAAAGAAGGCCACAAGGATAAATATGTTTGATAGGCTAAGGCTCGTAATTTACATTAAAATGATTTGAGCCTGAGTGGTCCTCTCTAATCCGAGATATTGAAAGCTGAGAATGGAACAAATGAGATTTTGGCTTGCTTATAATTCCATAGTGAATATTATTCAAAGTGGGATTATTTTCACATCCTAACATCTATCAAAATTGGGAAGTCTAATCACCTCTTTCTCTTGAGAAACCTCCAGTTATTTCGTAAGTGTCCCATTTTTTACCGTTCACTCTGATATCATGTGTCTACGTATCACCATGGACTACGGGGTATAATGCGTAAAAGATTCATCTCATCAAGCTGGAGCCAAATCTTCTTGGAAATTAGAAATAAAGTTGCTTCAGAAGAAGTTATAATCAGATCCCGCAAATCCTGCAAACCCCGCAATTTTGGCCGGATTCCACCGCTACAACTGTACATTGTTATCGCTCACGTCAGCTCACCTTGATAACGACTCCCCCCACCCCTCTCCCGGACCCCTCAATGCGATCCCTAGGTGTGGCATGCCACATCCCGCTTAAGCCCTTTTATAAGTCAGAGAACAGATACTGATAATGGCTAACGAGGAACAATAGAAATAACAATCAAATATTGGCCCGCACGTTCCAGTGATTACATAGAAAAAAAGCAGTTTTTTTGTTCTGTGTAGATGAACAAACTATATAACATGACTTTCATCAGACATGCACAGTAAGCAGGCATTATTCAACTTCCGTACCGTCTGCGTTTGGATTTATCCGAATAAGCATTCCACTTTTTTTCAAGGGTTGACATTCCCTTAAAGATTTTTGATTCAGTATGTTATCATTGTTGATCGCTTTAGTATTTCATCTCATTTTATTGGCTGTATGGAAAAAGAGGTCTGAGGTGAAAAGTGATTACGATTTGTTACGCAGCCTTACGGGAAATCGTGAAAAAGAAAAAAATTAAGGGAGCGCATTGGCAAAGGTCTATGCACACAAATCAGATGTCTCATTTTTTCAACAGTAAGCGGAAAAGAATCAAGATATAAATTAATTGGAATAAGCATTCAGAAACGAAGGAAAATATGAGGGCAAAGATATGCACAACACCATGAAACTTCAAGCTATGGTAAATACTTCACGAAAATCATTTTTAAAGATAGCTTTGAACTTAGCGCCTCTTAAATTTCGAGCTGCACAGATTATGCTCTACGATGTCGAAAGACTGGGACTAAGCAAAATGATTTTTGTAAGCATTCAAAACCACGGAACCTGTAATCAATCCTCCGACGAAATCTGCGCGTATGAGGCGTATTCATATTTCGCATGTTTCCGAGTTCAAAGCAGATAGTTCCAATCAGACGGAACTCAAGCAGTGTCTGACTAGGACTGAAGCGTTTGCGTAAGGCGCTTTTGAAAAAAGATCCATTATGTAAATTATGGAAGAACATAAGCGCCACATCTTTATGCATCGACAATGGTCGTTTGAGAAGAAATTCTCCCATTTGTCCTGAACAAATTGCGCCATTTATGTGAAAGAACTATGGGTTTGATGAGAACATCGGCAAATAAAGGGTTCAAGTAATACTATCGTCATTTTAACAAGGGGCTTGTAGTGCGTGTTGTCGGTCACGAATTTAAAAGGATGAATCATAGCAAAGTTTTTGAGAAAAAAATTCCGTTTAGTGGGTTACCAATATGCAGCTCCATTAGGTAAAAAGGAGAGCAAATTGGATGAGCGATTTTCCAAAACCTTGCACGTCAATTACGGCGGTCTTATCAGACCTTTTGAGAAATCAAGGATTAAATTTAGAATTTGCAAGCTACGGCTTCAACAAAGACAATGGGATGGCATGACCTGTTGCATGGAAACCGCCACGACGATGCAATAGTCCACTGAATGCGATCTGGGCTAAGGTTCAAAGAGGTTAAAAATGGAATTTTTCCGCCTGAGCGATGTCTGAGTCAGGATACCCATCAGTATATTCGCATGAGAAACGCATTTGCTCGGTTTCATCTTGGCATTGCTCCCAACGATGCAAGGCTTGTCTTTCCAGAACTATTCCTGGGCTTTACACAAGACGAGCGACTTCCATGCTTTGCTTTTTTACGGACTTGCAAGAGTGGCGGAGCCTTCATTTGGCGTGTTCAAGCTCACCCTCCCGTTTGAGGCATCAAGGGTTTGAGGAAGCTCAACTAAATTAACTCAAGCACCGTCGCACGGATAAAAAAGGTTGGTTCATCACATTTTATATCTCTGTAGTTTTCAGAAAGAAAATTGTCCAACTCTATGCAAAGTTCCAGTTTCATCTTGCTCTGTACCAATGACCACCTACCATGACAATTTATTGAGACAGCCTGTATGACTGTGAACAAATCAGCTCAAGGCTCTGCACCAATTGCAACCGGAGACTTTGAAACCTTCTTTGATATTAGAAAATTTTTACAAAGTTTTCTTTGACTTTTCTTGAGCAGAAGAACCGTGAAGAATAAGCTCGGTTTGCTCAGGGGCACGCTTTACGATCAAAGCAGATTGCGCCGCTACTGAAAATTGTTCGAGGGCTATTAAAAAGCCCGGTAAATTTTTGCTTGCATGACAACTTTCAAAGTGAAGGTAAAACCCATGAACGCATGAAAAAACATGTGAGGAAGAAATCGCGCCCAACTCTGCTGCTAACAAGCTGTTCAGACATCAGCTCCCTCACACGGACGTGTACACTAAATTTTGCGTCATATCGTTGCGTTTTGGTTGCAAACAAGGCTCTATTTGTTTGAGTGTGAATTTCCTAGCTTTGTAACAGCAGCCGTTGGTATGGCGGAGGCATGCCTTCGGCCAAGTTATGTCTGAGAATGAGAAGCATTTCCGCTCTACACGCTTCCAGCTGTGCCAAACCCTGTATCGAGTTATGCTCATGTTACAAAATCAGTTTTCGGATGTCTTTGTTCCTGAACAGCTCACAGTGTTACGCATCATTTATTGAGCTAATTATAGACAACATCGGATGTGACCACAAAAATAGGCATCAGTCAATCCAGTTTAACGAGCTGCTCAGCTAGGACTCCATTACGAAAGTGGATAAAAATGCCTTTTTCAATAAAACCTCAAAACATGAGATAAGTGTGCTAAGTATGTTTTGAAGTGTTCTGTGAGGTGCTCTAACATAAATTGTGTTTTCAAACATAAGGCTAAACAGGCAAGTCACTCGCCTTAAACAGCTGTGATTACAGTCTTAAATGCATAACGTTGAGCTGGATAATGAGATCGTGTTGGCATATGTTTAAAGGCAGCGTCCAGGGGCAAGTCTGAACACATGGAGATCTCACGTGGATAGTAATTTTGAGGCCCTAACTAAGCCACTGCCACCGGCAGCTCAGGTAGTGCTCTAACGGCTGAGATATTCCCCTCGAAACTGGACCCCGCGATCGTATTTCGCATAGATTCATGGCGCAAAGCGTGGATCCTGGCGCGAAACTGCCATGAATCCATGCGAATACGATCGCGGGGTCCAGTTTCAAGGGGAATATCTCAGCCGTTAGAGCACTACCCGCGCTGCCGCTTGGGCAGTGCCTTAGCTAGGGCCCCAAAAGTACTCTCCACGTAAAATCTCCATAGGTCCAGATCTGCCTGGACGCTGCCTTTGAGAAAACACAAGAGTTTGTGCCAAAAAATCTCTTTACTACATTCAGAACCGGTACGGTAATGAAACGGTAGACCAAAGCAGAACAAAAGGCAAGCACTGGAGAAGCACCGACGGCAGTTAATGCTAATTCCAGCAGAACACACGTGATGTAGATTGCCCGTTAAGTCCACCTTAATGAAATCTGATTGGCCACAAAATCATTATCTATACTAGCAACGAAGAACATACTCAGCCCAGGAGCACAACGACCAACTTACTTCATGGGTCTTTATCCAGTCGAGATGCAATGCCGTAGATTGCTCGGGAGATCAGAGGGCGCAGTCGCCCAAATATGGGTATCGAAAATTTCAAGTATATCGTAAATGTTTAGCCTGAGCTTACCTAAGCCGTATTTCAAGAAATTTGTTTTGAACTGGGGAAAGCAGTTTCTCATCTTTTTTGCGAACTACCACAAAACCCTATCTCATGCTTAATTTAAGCTTTTATTCAAATGTCTTGGCTTCGGGAAGGCGGGGCTTTAGGACCTAATCAAGGCCGCTTTCGCCCGCAACGCACCTGCGCCTCTCTCGCGCGAGTGCTCTCTGATCATTACCTAGCCTTAATTAGGTCGCGAACCCTCGCCCCCGAAGCCAAGCCAGTTGAATCAAATTTTAACTCATTGCCGCAGGAACTGCTATGCCTTCAAAAGAAATTTGTAATCAATAGGGACTCAGAGTCCAGATGTGTTTGGGTGTACTGCTGTTTATTCCAACTGGCTCAAAAATTTGCGCTCAATTCTCGACTACCAAGTTCACAAGAATTACGGAAGAACTAACCTGACTGCTGATTCTAATCCCATAGCGGCACCAGTTCACAAAGTGCTCACAGTTGTTCAAGAACAGATTATAGTTCCGCGCCCCTAGCTGAATTTGGTTCATTAAAACGAAACTCGAAATCAAATTTGGCAGACCTGTAGCAGGGCTCGATCAACAACGATAGTAGGAGGAAAAGGACGATGATTGGCATCAAGTCCGTTGTTGATACGCACAAGACTCTGACCAGCAACATCAAAGAGTGGATCGCATCGCACCTGAAACCTTTCGAAAAATTCTCAAAATTCTGCAAAATTACACCAGTTGAATGTCTGAACTTTTCGCTGTTTTGTGATTGGTTTCCGCTTATTACCTTTTCCAGTACGTTTCGCTATACACTTGGTTCTCTTGGTGTTGCAGAAAAACGCAAGCACGTTACACTCTTGTCACTTTAAAAAAAGTGACAACTCATACTAACAAATAAGTTCAAACGCCCCACAAGAGTTATCTGAACTAAAACTGTAATTTAGTGAGGGATGACAAATGCGAAGCCTTTGAGATGAAAATTTCCACAAGTAGTCATGGTAGTCTTATCTGTCTTATGAAACTCAAGACCCTTCAGAGTTTGGAAGATAGAGTATTGTCAGACTGTACAAGTTGTAAATAAGGAACTTCCTTTGAACGAGCAGAGAAATTTGAATTATAGAAAATTGCGTGGACAAAAACTGATCGTTTTTTGGTATGAACAGAACCATAATTGAACTAGTTATCATCCTTAAAGTCATTTGCATCAACTATAATCATAGAAAAACGAAGATGAACCAAACTGGAGAATTTCTAAAAATGCTTCTGTTTTAAGCCGCGGCGAATCTGAACATCACGAAATGCCCAAAATACACCAAGACCTTTGGTTTTTATTCCGTCATGATATATTGTAGGAGTTACTTGAATATTATTTTCGGTGCTTAAAGGCAGCGCCCAGGCAAATCTGGGCCTATGGGGATCTCACTTTGAGGGTAATCTTGGAGCCCTAACTAAAACATTGCCCAAGCGGCAGCTCAAACGCTGAACCCACAGTTGAGATATTCGCCTCCAAATTACAGAACAGATTTCGCAGTCGTTGCACCGTTTGCTACAGTACCCCCTATAGCGCCCAACAGGTTGTTCGTGGCGGGACCGCGTTTAACTCACTGGTTTCGCAGCCGAGTTAATCACATCGTCCCTGGTTAAAATTGCATTTGCGTAGTTATTGCTAAGAGTTTGACCCTGTGGTTTACTCAACAAAGCACTAGGATCAATACTTAGGGAAAATACGCATTTCGACCCCACTTTGCATTTCACCGTAATTGCCCTTAGCTCAACTGACTACTGAAAATTAGTGTCTTTTCCCATCAAGTATGGATTAGATCAGTCCAGGGTTTCGATGTATCATACATAGAAACTGAACAGACCTATTTAGGTGGGTGATACTTCTCCAAATCGAAAAAAAAATAGCTGTTATTCTGTTTATTTTCTATTTGAAGCATCTTCCGGAAACTGGTGCTGGTAAAAGCCAAGAATGAATGTCGCACTAAGGATGTTCGGAGTTTTGCCCTTCTTGATGAGTTGTTGAGCTGTATAACATCACCTGGATAGGTGCTGAAAACTATATCTTACCATATAACCTAGTATAGCTTACCTATTGTCTTGTTCAAGGAAGAGTGACGACATGAGTTTGGATCTTACACCGTGTATAACTTTGAGAACTCAAGATAGTGTGACAATTTAACTATTGCTGAGGTCTTTCCATCCATTGACTCTGAGCTCATGCCAACGTACAGTCTAACGCAACAGCTTTAGGAACTGTATGCGTTCGTAGCAAAGCGAAAGCCGTTATTTGCTGGCATCGCGCACTCGCGAACTTCAAAAAGAACCTGCGATGCTATCTGCGCCCATGATCACTGTCATTCTGCAGCCTTTTCTCTTCGCATTTTGTCACTATTTGTACGTAAGGCTGCATCCGAAGGGAAACTATAATTCGTTCGGATTGCGGCGCTGACTTAACTTACAGTAAACGTAATGCGACCACAAAATGTGTCCCTTCTTACTTTCTTTGATCTTACTAATTGCATAAAGTGGTCTTGGAATTGATATGATGTGTTGCTGATCCTCTGGATCGTAGATTACACATCGATTCAAGTTACACTCACTGAATAGTAGCCGGTAGGTAGTACACTGACTAGCTAGCATCGTCAGTGTTAGAGCTTATGATAGGATTTCTTTGAGGAACTGAAGTGAGTGAAGGTGAGAAATATCAATAATCATATTTACGTCTCATTACAATTGAGGGGACTGAAACAAAAAAACAGCATTCGCCATGTAGATGGCGAAAACTCAGACTAGAAGAATGGGGTGACCGGAATATAAGTCTTAGGGAACCTTCATTGAAACATTGATACGCTCGTTATCCTAGTAGAAAAACCTTGAAAGAGAGAAAGAACGATGATCCAGGGCTGAAAGTAAGAGAAAAAAACAAATCAACTACGAATATGCCAATTTAGACAACGGTTCTGAAAGCAATAGACTCAGAATCTGCGTATGATACATTACCTGTGTTAGGTGCGAAAAAAACTGCTCATCTTTTGATGTCCTTGTAGTTCTTGTACGCCCAAAACCTCGGACAAGAACTGATTCTGCATTAGGTTCATTTTGAAGTTGGCAAGTACGCTGGTCCGCTGGTCCCGCCGCGAACACCCTGTTGGGCGCGCTAGGGGGTACTGTGGCAAACGGTGCAACGACTGCGAAATCTGTTCTGTCTCCAAATTGGACTCGAGATCGTATTCGTATGGGTTCATGGCGCGACACATCAGTTTCGCGCGGGGACCCACGCGTGCCGCGCCATGAAGCCATGCCGATCCTGGGGTCCAGTTTGGAGGCGAATATCTCAACTGTGAGTTCACCATTTGAGCTGCCGCTTGAGCAGTGTCTTACGAGGAAGGTACTTTCAATGGCCATGGCCTTTTGATATGAAATGCATATCATCTGAAGCAGCTTTGAACGCTGATTGCAGATCTGCTTTCCTTTTCTGCGTAGCGCTCTTCTGAAGAGAGTTATGGAAGCCTGAACATCCTATTTTGAGGGCGATCCTTAAGTTAGAGAGCGCTGCTATGTGCGTTGGTGGTGCAGTGGTGTATTGGTTAGTTGTTAGCATTGAAGGCGAAAGGCCGATGGTTCGAATCCACTGCAGAGCGTTACATTTTGCACTACGAATGTGAGTTTGAAAACCACTCTAATTCTTTTGCAGACAATTACTGTAATGCCCTTGGCAAAAGTGACTTAAGGAAAGAATTTTCTGCCAGAATCGCTTGCTTGTTGAAATTTGGTTTTCTCCGCAAAAAAATTCCGTACAAAGGTGAAGCGAAATTACAAAGTGAGTAGAACACAGATACTTTCCACAACGGAAACAGAGTATGAAGAAAACCTCCGCGCAATTCTCATGCTCGCAAGTACCCATCAAGTTACTAGGGAAATATTATTGGAGTGGCGTTTTGAATAAAATCAAAATCTTCCAAATGAATTCAATCAAACTGGATTCAAACCTCGACCTTTCGCCTTTAATGCCAAAAACTAGACACTACACCACTGTCCAACAACCAAACATTACACCACTGCACCACTAGCGTACGTAGCAGCGTCCTCTAGCTCAAGGGGCGCCCCAAAACAGGATGTTTAGGCTTCCATAACTCTCTTCGAAAGAGCGCTCCGCAGAAAGGGAAAGCAGATTTGAAATCAGCGTTTGAAGCTGCTTCAGATGGTATACATTTCATATCAAAAGGCCACGGCCACTAAAAGTACTTCCCGTCAGGGCCCCAAAATTACAGGGCCCCAAAATTACTTTCCACATCAGAACTCTGTATGTCTCCAGATTTGCCTGGCGCTGCCTCTAAGAATTTGCTTGTCGTGCCTGTAACAGAAAGCCGCGAAATGTATTTTGAAAAATCTATTTGGAATTTTAGGAAACTTAGAAAACTGCTCCACGTTTGCTTGTGAAACACAGTCTTGCAAACATTTTAAAATCACTTAGCATTTAGACATGATTGTAAGGTTTGATTCTAAGGTTCCCCTGAAGTTGTTGAGTGGTATGAAACTTCTGCAAAGTGACAGCTTCAGGGAATTGTTGAGGAAGGACGTCATCTGCAAATGCACAGAAGACCAGCATACGGTATGTATAAACATGCGCAAGTTTTCCTTGATTCAAATTGCAAATGAAATGTAAAGGTGTAGCAGAAATTATTCGCTAAAGTAGTGATGCTGCGCTACGACATCTCTTGAAAAATCTTAGATCATAACAAATAACTAATTAACCCTAAATAACTAGCGAAATTTTTTTCAGATTTGATCATGGGGAAAACGGAAGTGATGTAGTTGCTCATTCGAAAATGCGATTGAATGAGATTGATGTTAAATAATAGATATGAAATTGAAAAACACAGACCTCAGCTTTACCGCTCTTGAGTATATTCGAAGAGCCGCTCAATGACAATAATCCACCGCTCCCAATACCGCTTGATGTGGCGAAATCCTCACCATTTCCTGACAGATGTATAACAAGGGGCTCGTTTTCGAACTGTCCTATATATACTGCCCAATGCTTGAAAAACAAATTTTTTGACTTACTGCGTAAAATTCTTTTACCAAATCTTACATCGTAAATGTTACGCGGTGCCCCACGTATGGGTGCTACCCTCCTAAATTCTAGCAGGTCTCCACGCTGTAGAAGTTTTACCACTTTCTCAGGTAGCATCCATTCGCTGACCAGTTGACCAGCGGCCGTCATCTCTAAAGAAATTCGTCTCTGCTTTGTACGAAACATTTTATGCGGACGCGAAATATGGATTCGAAAAAGCACGAGACGTCAAATTATTTCTGGTCAAATTGCATGCTGCGTTTGGCCATATTTTTTAGAAGTGTTGGGGTGTCTATGAGAGCAAAATTTTAGTATCTGAAAACAGGTCATTCAAAAGTGCATAGTCACACAATGTGAAACACACTCTATGTTTCCGAATGCTTCTTTCTAACTTGTACGAGTAGTTTATACTTTTTTTGGCTATTCTAATAGCATCTTCTATTTTATGACTGCATGCACACATTTATTCGTAAAAGGATTTCCAAGGAATTCTAGAAAGCAACTACGATTCTTCAAAAATTTGTGATTGCTTACTACTTTATTTTTGGTCAAATAAAGATCTCTTTCATAAGCAGTATCCAGCGTATGTATGTGGAAAGTGACTGATTGTGAGAGACTGGAATTGATTTTTCGTCGAAAGAGCAACTCCTATATTTCATTCGTGGCTGGAACGTTGGATTCTCCCAATATCATACTTTCAGAGGGGACAAATAGTATCTGGAGTGCAATAATTAAAGAGAATCTACAGCTGAATATGTAGCTCGGCCATGGGTGCTTTCTGAGCCTCCGCTTGCGCTATGTATCTGTGAAGATCTCTTTCAGTAGCCACATAAACAGTACAGGACCCGACTTGCCTGAATCCGCTAAGCGCAGAGATTTATCAGGATATCAAACGCAGTTGGAGGAGATTTGCTGTTATTGGGGTGTCTCATAATTTTTTATCGTTTTTATTGCAACCACCGTCTTTTTGTATCCTTCCTTCATCTGATGTGGTTTGAGTAATCTTTCAACAAAGCAGAACAAGCTCTACAAGATGGCTATCAAAAGTCTGCCCAAATCATATCCCATATGAAGTTTTGAGCTGAAATCTGATAGTAGTCGAAAACGAATTTTTTTTTTCAAAAATCGTGTCTCCGACCCAAAAAATTCAAAAAATTCATTTATTATAGCATATACTTGATACATCGCATATTCGCCCCTAGAAGTCCTGAGCTCCTCTCATGCATGTGATCATATAGCTCATACATACAGAAGTACGATCATCTATTTGGATCCTTTGTAGGTGCCCAGTTCTCGGGAAATGCTGATGTTTAGGGTAAAAACGGCAAAAAAAATGAGACACCCTAATACTGCGAAGAATAAGTATGGTATGTGATGTCGGTCGAAGCTGGACTAATGATGTGGCGACCATTTATAATTTGTCCGACTATACGCACTTCGATATGACGATGCAATCCAAGTGCTCAAATCAGCAAAGTAAAAAAAGCGTAACAAAGTGGGGGAAGTCCAAGGAAAAGCCTGAACGTCATTGTGTCAGTAATGCAAAGTAGAGTGAGTAGAACTGATAGTCTCATGATTGCTAAGTACCTTCTGAGCGAGATATTGATTATGATGTGACACATACATACATTCTATTCCAGAGGTGATTGAAAGTAATACTGAGATTTTTCAATATTCATTTTTTTCTTCACAAATCGCCTTTCACTGACAATAATTCATTTGTTACTCAACAATTAGCAGGCATTACGCAGCCGGACCTCAGACTAGACGGGCATAAAAGTTGAACGACTTTGGATGCGAAACATTGCAGCGGTTTTTTTGTCTCTTCCCTTTCGTTATCAAACAAAGTCTGCAGTCTGCCGAAGATAATTAGTTGAAAGAATCACTATATTGTGGACATGTAATTGAATGTTAGAGCATCAAAATCTTCAAATATTTTATTATTGGAGCGCAGTTAGTGTATCCTGAAATGTACAACCACTGGCTCACCTCTAAATTATACAAGATGCAAAAGGATTAGCCAGTTGCGCTAGTTCAAACACCAAAGCCTCTGACTGTAAGTAACGAGAACGACTGATGATTTAAGGCTTCTTTTAGGTCACGTAAATCAGATCAAACACAATCTTCAAACATCTTTTATCAGGTTTATGACTGCATATGCTCTGAGTGACAGACGTGCAGGAAAAGTGCTTGAGTATATGCTGACGAATGAAAAAGAAATTGAACATCATCATTTCTCAGGATCTCATTGCAAAGTATCAAAAATCAAAACATCCTCTCAACATAAAATTCTGGAATGAACTAGACCACGAATGAGTCATCAATCATGGTGCAGTTACACGAACGTCATTTGTTTGTTTGCACAAACACTATTTGGCGTTTTATGCTGCTATGGAGGTCTGTCTTCAGGCCACCATGTAAAGCAAATAACGAATAGCCAATGAGATTTTGCAGCACAATTGTATCTATCCTGGATAAGCCGAACTATCATTTGAGATCTGGACATGTTGTTTGTACTAGCGAGGATTCTGGCAGTCATTTCTGCCCTATTGCCATTTAGACATCTTGCAACTTGGAGTCATATGTTGAGACTCTGGAAAATGCTCATGAACCGGTACAGCTTTCTACACAAATGATAAGATTTGGAAGCAGCAAGTTAGTTCAAGTTCAAAGGAGGTCAAAAAAACCTCGGAAATGACTTTGGGGACCACTTCTACGTTTTTCTGAGTTCGTAGTAGTTTTAATCTGATGCACATCGATGTTATCTAGCAGATCCTCGCTGATTTACTCCTTTCACTCTTCTAAAAAGTTTCTGTGACAAGAATAATTTATCAAGGTTGTTTGCCTTTCTCAGTGACAGATGGATTACCAACCTTTACGACCTTTTTCCCGATTTACACCTGTGGGAAAGCTAACAGATGATTGGGCATGGCAGGTGTGAACTAGGCCACTGAATCTGGAGACCGCCGCCATGACATTATCACTATGTTTTTGATCAGTGATTAATCAGAAATTGTCAGTAACGCGAATCGTTTTAGACCTGCTCTTTGTCTGGCAAAAATGTGCCATTTGGATTGTATTAGGTTCGCTGAAAATAATTTCGATCGTTTCGACGGTTTGCAAAGTTTCAGATAGGCTTCTATGTGAGTGTTGAGTGTATGGTACCAGAGAAGCTCACGCAGAAATAAGTAGTCACAATTTTTATGCAGAGATCATTTTTGAACAACAAGTTCGTGCGAGTAGTTAGAATATTTAGTTCATATTCTCAAGAGCTGAAGTGAATGTAAAATGTAGGAGTACACATCGTTTAACTGTGATGGCTTTGAGTTTGGATAAATGTGAAATATGATCGAAGGTGGAGTTTCAAAGATCAAGCAGGTCAACTCACAGTGCCTCACTCATGAATCCTCTACTTAGCAATCCGTAAAGATGAGAGAAAATATCAGTGCACTTTCAGAAGATGTGCGAAGAAGCGAGGATTTTGAAAGATTATGCACGAAGAAGTGCAGTCGCCACCTGCAACTGCACTCAGTTCTAGGCAATAAAAACTTGGAGTGCAAAATTTGCAACTCGGCACTCAACACTTCTCAGTGTGCATACCCGAAATTTTTCACCTCGTTGCAAATGATGTATGCTGAATTCCAGTTCCTACAAGATTAACTGTAACCACTGGATCAATATGTATAGCTGTCCTAAACCCACAAAAGCTGTGATCGAAACCACATTTTCATATTCCGTTTGATAACGGGATGAATCCGCAGATTTCACTGACGTCAAAAACCAAGATGGTTTATCAAAAATGACGCACCGGAGAAGCTGATTACAACAAAAATGCAAATGAGAACAGTAACAAGAGAAATGAAGGACTGAAGGAATGACAAAAATAACGATCAGATCACAATCGAACGAATCAATAAGCTGAGATCGGCACCTGAGATATGGTGCAACGTGTATTTCGAGTACTACCTTTATGGTCTTATATAGTCGCGAAAAAAAAACTAGACAGTTACAAGAACAAAAAGTATGTAACTAACCTAATCTAACCTAAACTAAACCCAAGTAAAAAGGCATAGCGTTAGCTACTGTTCGCACGGTCCTTTGTGGAGGAACGCGCAGTCCTCAAACTTGAGTACTTGAACCAATGGTGACACCTCTGCCACACAGAGTCTTACCTGTGCTCGGCGTATGCCCGAAACTGCTCAAAAAGAGTCCAAGCGCTTGCTGAAAGTTTGGCCAGCGCTCGCTGAAAGAAATTATTTGCCGAGCGCTTGCAGAAAATGCTGCATTGCTGCCCGCTGGCAGAATATGCGACCGTAGGATGTGCCGCCAGCTGAAGGTTTGGCCACGCCCCAAAATTCTGTTGACCGCTTGCAGAAAAGCGCGAGTTTGCGGACCGCCTGCCCCCGGCGATTCTGATTGGGCGACGCGGATTTCTTAACACCGTTCATAAAATAATCACTGGTTTGGTTCTAAATGTTAGTTTAGGAAAGCCAAGAGCGTTGTGTCACCGAAGGATTATGCGGTAGAATGGGCACCATGAAGCGTATAGCGTTAGAGGATTAGGAATTTGAGAGACTATGGCCAGAAATGTTTGCCGGCGAAAGTGTGGGTCTGAAATGGGAAGTTTGAGAGATGTTGAAACTTTGGACATTTTTTAATGTATCAGCAGCACATCGCTTTAGCTAGGAATCTTTCAAAAGAGTAAAGTGCAATGCTTGCTTCTAGTCAGAAAATTTCTTGGTAGGAAAATGCTTGGACACTGACCGACCGGAACGGACAAGGAAATAGAAAGCGTGAGGCACTTTGGTCAGTTCATTTGAGGCAAAGAAAGGAAGGGTATTAGTGAACCCAGCACTTTTGTAAGAGGACGTTATATAAGAGAATTCTGCGCATTTTGGCCAAAACTTTAAAGGAGATTTTAAAATACTGGCTTAAAAAATTGAAAGAGTAGGTGGCTTTGCTCCTCAACAGCGGTGAGGAGGGGCACGAGAAAAATTTGGCATACCTTGGTTACAACAACATTTCGGATAGATGAGCTTGACATGGAAAGCAGGGAGAGCAGAAGCATGTAGTGATAAAGAGTGGTTGCACTTCTACAAGAGAAGGCTGTAGGAGGCTTTTATTTATTTATTTATTTATTTATTGCACAAAAGTGCGCCATCG